TAGGCTGGTCAACTTAGCCCATGTTGGTCTTCCTTGCAGGTAGTCGTGACCAAAGGATCAAGATACGGACAACGAAATGTTAAAGAAAATTTCTGGGTGGGCCTTCGGAAAAACCTTTCTACAAGGAATGAATCCAGCTGGCATGGAACTTTGGATTTTTCTCCAAAATCCTAGGTAAGCAACTGGAGTCTCTGCCTGCTCATTCCAGGGAAGAGAACACATGAGTGCAGGGTGTTGGCCATCTTGGGATCATGAGAACAAAGCCCATGTGCTAAAAAAAATGGCGGACTGGAAAACAGACTCTAGGTCCGTGGGCCTCTGCCATCATCCGGGAGCTCAGCGCCAGGGATCTCGTTACTTAAGAAATTAAGCTTCTCTCACAGAAGTTAAGGCAACTAGTGTCTTACGTTTCTAGATCTAAATATAACTTTATACAAGAGGTGGGATATTTAGAGAATTTATTATAAAGCTTTTTAGAGTAAATCCCATTATCCCTTTGTTCTAGTCTGGAAGTCAAAAATTAGTGTATCTCTTGGTCTTGCCCAGTTGAGACACAAGAAAATCTTATTTCACGTGAGAATAAAAGCCTCAGCTCAAGGAATAAAGCTGTGAGGAAAATAATAAAGTTCAGTGGACCCTGAGTGTTGAAAAGGACCCTGAAGGCAAGTGCCTGCTGCTATGATACAGCCCGTCAAGGCCATGCTATGATGTTGTGGCACCTATTAGGGTGTTTGTATTGAAGAGTGTGTGTGTGTGTGTGTGTGTGCGCGCGCGCGTGTGCGTGCGTGCAAAGTCTAACTGCAAAATGTGGAAAGCTGCAAAAGTACTCAGACATTGAGTAATTTGTTTTCTTGTGACTTTACCAATGACAAAAATCTTTGATCAAGATAAATAATAAAAACCTACGAGTACTTCCTTTCCATGGAAAGACCTAGTGCCTCCACAGTAATTATTTTTCCAGATTTGGGAGAAGGCATCTTTGTTCCACTCCTCTGGAATCATGTTAGTTTGATGGCAAAATGAGGACGAGAGGGAATTTATCATTTCAATTTATTTTTACTTCTGTCTCTCTTTTTCCCATTCCCCACCTTCACGTTCAATTCTCCTATCCCTAAGGGCCTTATATTTTTTCTCTTTCCTCTTTTCCCTTCCTCCTTCATCTTCAGAATCAGATCAAAGATCAGTGTAAGATTTGGACCTGGCTTGCCTGGCACTGCTAGAACGTCTTTACCCAGAGAGTCTAAGTGGATGGATAGAGTAGAGCTTCACTAACTTGTTTCCTAGTACATGGGTGCGTTACAAACTCGCGTGATTTCTTGCAGCATCACACTACTACCATAGCCCCCAGTATCAGTCGTCTACTAAGAGGCTCCTCTCTGAATTTCTGATTCCGCGTTCTTCTGAGATGTGGAAGGAAGAAAATGAACAGAACAATGACGATGATTTTCAACCATGATCAAGTATTAGACTTGCCTGGAGGTGCTTCTTTTAAAAAATGATGCCTGAGCCCAAGTCATATTGAAAAATCAAAATACTGAGGCCCAGACTTTATTTTTTCTATGCCTTTCAGGTGATTTTTATAAGCAGATGAGGATACGAACCACTGAGAGGGAAGCTGGAATGGCAGCTCCAGAAATTATTAGCCCTGGGCTAGAGTTATAGGTACAGATAATTACGGCTTTTGGAGTGTGAGACTGCTTACTTGTTAATGTGTCACTATCTGCTTAAAAATAATGCAAGATACACCTGTTGCCTGTAAGATAATCAAATTCCTAAGCAGTATATTCAGGCCTTTTCACTCTCCCATAGGCAGTTTATGATCTGGTGATTTCACATTGTTTTCTTGTCTAATCCACCCCCTTGAGCTGACTGTTAGCTTCTGGAGAGGATGGACTGTGGCTTTTCATCTCTGTAGACCAGAGTATAGAGCAATGCCAGACACAGATAAGGGTCTCAAAAATAAGTCGAGAATTGTGTAGGTGTGATCATCTCAGTTCGTCAGTAAGGCAGTCTGAAATGAGGCTTATATGTTTTCACAAACGACTGTCGACTTCAGTGTATGGATAGATAAGGATTTACTCATTCAACATTTATTATGAAATTCTTATAAAGCAGACATTGTGCTAAGACTGGGGACACACTATGAAGTGGTGTTTCCTTTGAGGAACTCATGCTTTAGCACATGTCATTTCTATACACTGGAAAGCATGCAAAGAGGTGAGAAAAACATGCTTTTGTTTAGCATGAAAAAGAAATGCAGACATGAGATTAATCATTTCTCATTTATGCTTAATTTTCATGCAATACAATAATAGAGATATTGTGAAACACAGGTCAGATTGTTGTAAGTCATATGTAGGTACAGTATACACCTCGGCTAACATGTTTTTAGCCTTTTACTTCCTATATGGCATGGCTGTTTGCTGAAAAATTGATTCATCTTGTTTCTGGAGACTCTTCCATAATTCACACATAGAATTTTAGCCCTTATTTAAGAAAGGATATTTCAGAGAGGTTAAACAAATTAGAATGATAAATGAAGTATCATTAGAAAGATACAGGAATTGATAGCAAATAATGCAGGTATAAAGAACATGAATATGGGAAGACTGGGACTGGAGGGGGCAGGAGTTATGTAAATGTATGTGGTAAACTTTCATTATATTTAAAGGCACTACTTGTACTATCTTCAAAAGGAATATTAAAGGGAAAAATTTTCCTTCAATCATTCATTACTCCTTTTCCCCTTCTTTCTAGCCGATATGCTAAAATCGGAGCTTACAATGATGGTGACTCTGAGTTATGGTGAAAGGGAATGAGGGGTTAAATATAATACTAAAATATTAAGGCAGATTTAAGAGATGCAGCTAAACATCAGAACGCCTCTGACTAGAAATATCTCTCTTTGGATATAGAATAAATTTTACTTTTCAAGATTATGTCAAGTTGTATAACTCTCGGAGGCTCACATCTCATGAATCATAGTTCTGGATTTATGGGGAGAGCGTAGGGCAGAGGGGACCCCAGGCGCCAGAAGCAGAAGAGGACAGTCCAAAGGCAGATGGGCCTCCCTAGGCGAGGATCAGACCTGTCCCTGGGGGGGAGCTGACCTCTCGCAGCAGAGGGATGGCTATGTCAGCCACATACTGCACTTTCACAGATCAAAATAATGAACCAAATACTCTGTGATGAACCATCCCACGCTGCCACTCTGTGCCCTCCCGAGACTGATTTTGATATAAATGACTTTCTTAAAAAAAAAAAAAAGGAATGCAGAACGCAAACGTCCGTCACTGGCGTTGACAGTATGGCTCTAAAACCTGGGCCTGCTCTGAGACTGGCATCTTTCGAAACATACACAGAAGAATAAGGGAGTGAACACGCAGGGCCTCATTTCACTCTAAGCGGTATGATGTGCTCTGTGGGACTCATGAAAGGGAATTTAGAAAGACATGAGGCCTTGGTTAGACTTCGAGGCCTGCCTGTCTTTCTGTTTGATTGGTTTGGTTTTCATTTTCTGAAATAAAGCCTAGGACCTTATAACCAACTTGCTGCCTCAGCTGAAATATGCTCTTGGCCCTGGGAAATGCATTTCCCACTCCCAAACAGAAGTTGTTAGACAGATGTGTAATCACATTCCTAAGCAACATACACATTTGCCATGTTGCAAGTCTTTTAGAGATGTGTTTTTTTTTTTTTTACCACTTGTGTTCAAATAGAATTGAAGGGACCTATGACCAAAGGCTTATATGCAGCAACAAGGAGGGACATGGTGAAAGCCATCTTATTCCCAAGAAGTCTATCTTAGGGAAAATAACTGAGCAATTACTCTCCTCTTCTCCCCTCTCCATCGAACCTAGGACCTGCTAGTCAAGCCCCCTAACACTGAGCTAACCCTTGCTCTAGCTGCCTTAGTTTCCAACAGGCTCGGCTTCATCTCCCTCGAGTCAGGGAGTGTGCTGGGTTCCCGGGTCCCCACTCTAGCCCTTTAACTGCGATAGGGCTGATAGCCCACACTAGTATCGCTTTCACATAGACAGAAACCCAAATTGATACATCGTGAGAAGCAGAATTAGGGTTTCTTAAGAAGCTGGGGGAATCAGTTATTACTGTGATGTAGAAAACTTGATTCTATTGTTATTTTGCTTTATTTGCCTTCACCCCCAAGTACTTCATGTTGAAGACTCATTCAGAGCTCCTATCTGTCCAGTAATCTTGTGTGAGTTCACACCTTAAATATTTCCCTAACTGTCTGGATTTGGACATACTATACTATGTAGGACTAAGTAGTTTATTGTCTTGTGTATTTTCCAAGCAGAAATTTCAGACATTTTCTGTAACAACTTGTTTTAGGAAGAAGAAGAAATCTAGAATAATTATGTCTACTTTGGGAAGTTACTAACCAAATGAGATGCAGCATATAAAGTTGCCTAGTCAGCACATAGTAGCTACTCCAAAATGTAGTAATTAAAATTATAATTACCATTTCTGCTCAATCTTTTGGATATTTGATTCTGTCATCCTGTATATTAGCCCCCAAATTTCATAACTGTACTTTGTTTTGATGTACAAATACTGGATAAAATGTTAGGGAAAAACGGAGACAAGGTAGAGAACTTGACGCAACACTTCATTCTAGGTTGAAATCTATTCATTACTAAATCATTGGCACATGAATATTCAACCACCTATGTAACAGCAAATGTGGTAATTATTAACTCCATAATGCCTGCAAGGTATTAAGAGACATTTTGTCAAATACCTTGCTTAAATACACACAAATGTGCATGTACAGATACATAAACACAACAAACATGTGAGTACCCATACCTCATTTAAGATAAAATATCAAACCGTTCTAGCAAGTCTTGTCATTCAGTGAACATATGTCAACTCCCGGTAATGGCCAACTTTGGCACTGATTACTCACATACAATTTGTTTAGCTAGCTCTTCAACATACTTCTTCATTTCAGTCATCCAATTTTATCTGTTTGAAAACTTACAGGATGTTCTCTCATCTGATTTCTGTTACGACGCCTTGACTTCATCTGTGACCACATCGTCAGTGTCTGCTCTCTAACAGGACTGCAATTCATAGAGGCCTAAAGATTTAAGTTAACTCAAGGGAGCTTATCACTCTCCTTCATTCTCTCCCCACAACTTCAGTTACCTTGTATCTACCGTTGTTGTTGTTTTACTCCTCTCTCAACTTGTTGAAGGTTGTGTTGCCAATCTTAGGGCGTGGAGATTTCTTACAGTTCTGCACTACTTCAGGGTTATTTGTTCACACC